CTCCAGTGACCCGTAACTTTGCATTATGAAAACAGACGCGAAATATCACTGGAGATGCATAATTCACTTTGGTGCACAGTTTTGAGCCGGCTCTCTTATACTGTTTATTTAATAAATCAAATACTTATTTTATTCAATAAGCCAAATACTTATTTTCAAAACCATATTTGAAAAAGGCATCACATGTTTGGTCCAGATTAATTACAGTGCGGCTTTGTTTATTGTTGATTGAGCGTAGTGGATAGGGATTCGGCAACGTGGAATTAGGAATCCAATTTTCTTTTAATTCTCTCACACATGAGATTCTATTTTTTCCAATTGTAATTCTGATTGCAAGGTGCTTTTAGGGGTCTCTGCAGCAGATGGGGCGGGCAATATCCATGTTCACTTACACAATTGTTTGTTGTTGATTTTAAACTGGAGAACATGCACAGGTTTCTCCGAGGCAAGTCTATTCAGCCCGAACCTCACATTTCTGTGCAAGAGTATATGTTTTCTTCTTCAATTTAAATCGTAAAAAAACACACGAACTTACTGATGTAGATGGCTTATTACATCGCAGAATCATGAGAGGTGGTGGTGGCTCAGAAAAGCCTCCGTCCAGCAGTGAATCGACCATGGCTGATGATTGATGATGATAAAGGTGCAAGTAATGTGTTTGCAGAAGTAAATGATTTCGAAATAAGTGACAGACTTCGTAATTCAAACTTTATTGTCGGGGACTCTCCATGGTCTAACACTGCCCTTGAAACCCTGGCTCCAGCTAAGTGGCCGTGTGGATTTGGAGGCTCATGTTGAATTATATCACTGGGGGCTTATGAGCGCCTGGGTTCGAATCCAGGCAACCACTTGTGATTAAACAGTTTCTCAGGTAATGCGAACTGATTGCCTCAGTTCAGTCAAAAACCTATCTCACTTCTGATGGGTAAAAAATTCGTGACATTTGGTGAAACACACTTTAATTAACCCTTTCAGAGACGTCTGCAAATTTGCAGGATGTGGTTTGTCCCGCTCACCGCTGAATCTTCGAATGCGCGAGTGGTTTGCCGTTGATTTTATTTAGAGAGGCGTAGTAGCACCGTTGTTTTTAAAGACATTGTTACTCACCGCGGAGAATCCCAGCGACACAACCTCAACTCTACGATAGCCGGCGCCAAACTGTTTCGCATGCCCTCCTGCACGGCCTCGTGGGAGTCTAAGTACCGAAAAAGTTAATTTGTATTATTTTTTCTTCTGGTTCCATTCCGACGAACACATACGTCGTCGGAACAGCATTGGAAGAAAATGTGATGGCCTACACGTACGTCATCAGAACTGGAAAGGGTTAATGCAGCATGAGTGGGCAATATGTGGTGTTAGGTCATCTTCCTTTCCCTCCTATCAGTTCAAGAGTGACAGGGAGGCCGAATGACCTCCCTCCAACTTTCTTCTTGACCAGCTTGGTTGCTTTAGTGTCAGTGTTGGGGCAAGAGACCTCTATACTAGTTCCTCCAGAGGTAGTTATGTAGTGGCGTTATCTTCCACGGCCACTCCCTGGCATGACGTAACGCACTACGTTCTGCAGGATTGCCATCGTGGCAAGTGTCTCTGTCGCTTCCCTGAGCAAGTTGCCGAATTAGTATTTTGTTTTACAAACAACCTATTCTTAGATCGTATCTAACTTCAAATCGGCGAATACTCCTCAGAACTGGATGTAAGAGAACATTTACGACGAAAAATGTTCTTTGTGTTTCTCAAAATGCACGCGAAATAAAATGAACAAATTTTAAACAACGGTGCGTTTGGCAGCACTCTGCAGCCGATAGCATCAGACGTTCATATTTTGTTTGTTGCGGTTGCACCCGAATTAAGAGCCGCATGGCTCACAGTGCTGAACCTAATAAATGAACCTGAAACTTGAACTTACTGACGAGCCTTTGTTGGTGGCTTTCACGATTTGGCAGGGTGTTGCATAATGACTTATTTATCTATGCAAATGGCAGAACAGCGTCGACTGTGCCAATTTTTACGAGTTAAATCAGGCTATGTTTAAAGTCGTCTGTGTCACATGTGCACGGTTTTCGTTTGGCTCTTAATCCCTTGCCGTAGTTATCTGGCGAATGAATAAATCATGCGTTTCTATGCCAGTGCAATGCACGTGCTTTACAGCTGTTAACCGACGGATGTTTTGACTACCATTATTTATTTACTTACTCGGCATCATCATGCCGCAGTACAATTTATAAATGAAATGTGTTGTAATTGGAGATGACTGAACACCACGGAATTTGTGTGTCAGTGATTATGCACCACCAGGTAATCCTTAGGGGATGGCACTTTTAAAATGTAGCTGTATTAACATTTTACGCAGAATGTTGGGTTATTACAGTGCTACAGTAGCATGTACTACTCCATTGCAGTTACTCTGAGGCTTGTGAAATATACGAGGTTAGAATGAATCTAACCGAAAATGTAGAGCATAATAAATGTACAATTCTTAGATTTTTGGTTACAAATATAAATAAAATATTCAAATATTCCTTTTCAATTCAGTTAATTGCATTTCACAATGGAAGAAAATAATTTGTACATTAAATTATAAATCCATACGGTTTTCATAGGAGCCCTCGAAACGTTGTGTACGCATAATCATAACGCCGGTGTTTAGGTCACAGATGAACATATTGTAAAAGCTGCGCCTCAAATAATTGAAACGTCAATTTCGAAGGCATCTGAAAACACTGAATTACAGTAATAAAATCAATGGGAATATGAGTGCAAATACTCTATATGAACAGCACCCGTATAATGCTTTTCCGAAATTGCACACAAATTTCACAGTACATTACACGGTGGGTTGAAATCAGGCGAATATGCTTTGGATCATGTGCACATTGTCATGATTATGATGCAGTGTTAACGTGCCAATGGTAATGTCTCATTGGGCACGAGAGAAGGGAGAGGGAGTGGCTCGCGATCGGAATTAATGAGTTCACATCCTGGTTGGGGGAGTGGGGGGTTTAATTCAGCCCATCATCTCTTCGCAACCTGATGATGCTGGGTGTAAACACCAGCGAAACGTCGCAGCCCTGCAAATGTTGGAAGATTACTCTGCAGCAGCAGCACCGGCGGTGGATCCGAAGAGGTTACGCATTTGGCACGTCCGATTCAACGTGGCACCCTTATTACTTGGCCGCGTCGGGTGGTGGAGGGTTTACGGCACACACTTTTTTACATGAGCTCACCCAAAAGAAACCACCTGTGAATATTTTCGCAGTCGACGAATCTAAGCGCCACTTTCGTGTGAAAGTCAACAAGAGTGGCCGTCCTCTTGATCAACTCGCACCTGCGGTGGGAACGTGGAATTTCCACCACTGGCTCTGGGATGTAAATATGAGCTGGGCATCTGAAAGAAATCACTTTGATTCTTTTAGTGTTTTTTTTGTGATTCTTCAATTGCATAAGAGAAGGTAGTGGAAGGCAAGTATCCGTAATAGTTTTATTTTCCTGAGCCTGTCGTTGGCTGTGCACGTGTACTGTGGTAGTTTCTCGCGGCCTCGTGCTCAGCTGTGCACATGCACTTCTCGATTTCCGATGTTTCTGAATCCGAATGGCTCAGCTAAACCACCGAGTAAAGCATTTTTTTTCTTACCACTTTGACTGCCAGATACTTCGTAAGTTTCATAAATTGGTAGCACTCCAAGCAATTTTGAAAGAAAGGAAAACAAATCCAGTTAGCACTTGTATTGTGGAGGGTAAGATTGTAAATTTGGGCTGGGGGCTTTATGGCATAATTCTGTGCGTCATCCTTTACCATCACCGATGAGCAGTAGGTGATCTCATTAACGCGAGACAGTGGAAACATGGATAGCCAAGAGGCAGACGTTGTAAATCACAAAACACCTTAGAATGAAGACCACAGTGTGAAAGTGTGAGATTAAAAATATAACATAAATGTTGCTGATAAATAATGACCTGGTTTTGTTAACATATGCAGTACAATACTAGCTTGCGTTCCCAGGAAACAATGGTGATTTACATAAAGCCTTAGGCTGTATTTAATTACGTAGGAAAAATTCTTCCATTGAACTTGTGAATTAAAATTTAAGGCCATGAAATTAATAAGCCTGTGCTTAATTTGCATGTGTTTTTCTTCTTTTGAATTAGGACACATCTAATGTAAGGCAATGTTTTTCACATACTCAGCATTTGCGCTTAATAGATACATACATATGCATGCATCATAAACCCACATGACTAACCCATTTATATTTCATATCATGTTTCCAAACAGGTTCAACATATTTTTTGCTGAATTCTGAACGAATCAATTGTCAGTCGTATGCGCATGAACACATTTAAATGAGCATTGAACACGGGATATTTCCATGTTCCCATTTATCAATGCCAGTTGGAATGGCAATCACAGTCTCTATTATGCCTTCACTTTCAAGACTGAACCTGATGTAGTAGTGACGTGGCTGACATACAATCTTGTAAATAACAATACTATACAAAATCATCACAAACTGTGCTTAAATTTAGCATATTATTGGTGAGCGTCAGAGGTTTCGGTAATTAAAACTGTACACATATTCTGCCCCTTAGGGAGTGGCTTGTTAATTGGCTTGTGCGAATTACAATTAATTTATTTATATCGCTCAATTAGCCGCAACCACACATTTACACATTTCGGCATCTACATGGCAACTGTGGTTTCGCAAATATCCGAAGCCAGCAGCACACGACGACCCCACAACTTTTTTTCTTTCCAACACGTACAAATGTCAGCGCACATGCGGCACCGTATATGCGAATTTAACCGTTGCGATCGCGTTTCACAAAGCAAACCTCCTCCACTGTGTGCTTGTGAGCGCGCGCGTTACATTAACCATCTTAGTCGCATGCTTAGCCCTCGTGCTAAACTTGAGCCGAGTGCGACACTTCTGACGTTTCCGAGGGAGACAGAATTCGAAGGGAAGGGGGTTCGGATGTGAAAGCGCGCGTGTTACTCACGGTACCTTTCGTGGCAAAGTGACGCTTTCGCTTGGCAGTCGGATGCTTGCGTTTTCATTGTTCAGCAAAAACACATTCGAGTAGGAAAAGAACAACACGGTAAAATAACAACAGAATTCTCAGACTGGTGGCAAAGTTCACCCTTGGCTCGACGCTCCTGAGAGAGAGAGAGTGAGATAAGCGCCGTTCGTGAAAGTGTCAGTTGCGTCTTTTTTTTCTTCCCCCCCGTTAGAGTGAACAGAATCGAGACAACCTTCGGGCGTAGGACGGTGCCTAAACAGCATTAATAAAAAAAACACATGAATATCTATTCGAGTTTTTGAAAAGGAAAAGACGTTCGAGTTAAATAGCGGTGAAAACGAGGGACCCTTGCCACGGATGAGGTCAGATGACTCTTCCTCGTGCGTCTGCTGCCTTCCGTGGCAGGCACACGTGAGTCCGCGCGCGGAATGCTCGCGGCGCGTGTCTCGACGCGGGGGAGACTTTGTAAGCTCCTCCTGTTGCCGCCCGCACCGCTCTCGCGCTGCCTTTCTCACTCAATTGCGTCCGCGGCTGCCAACCCCGCAGTCTCGCGCTCCTCTTCCAATCCAGTTTTTATTGATAAATCTTTAATCCTCCCCCCCCCCTCCCTCTAATCCATTATTCATGGCTTTGTCCCAAAGAAGCAACCGCACGCTCCACGCGTTCTCTCAACGCTGCTCGTCCCGCCGATACCCCCCCACCAACACCCCCTGCCCGCCGCGTCCCAATTGGCCTCGTTGTCAAAAGTGGCTGCTTGCCCAAAAAAATGGGCATCTTTGAGAGTTGGATGACCGGCCGAGGTCATGGCTCACATGCTCGCAGCGTAGGATAGATCCTTACACGGGCCAACAGTCCCGACCCCATTGCTTTAAAGGCAGGGGCTTAAGTGTGCCCACGTGTTGAAATGCACAATGTTCGCAGAGCCGCTCAGGGGGCGTTAATAATGTAATAGTGAGAGTCAGTGTGGAGTCGGTGAAGGTAGGATATTGGTAAGGACCGGTTCGGTTATTAACGTTGGTCGTGGTTGGGAATCTAACGCAGGTTGCCTGGTTCACTGAACACTGCCCAAATTTGAACACAATCATTCGACGCCAAGCTATTAATACTCTACAGTATGTCCGATGTTTTTTTTCTTCTGTAAATGATGCATGCTCTCATATAATGACCCATACACATACATCCAATGGGAATGGTTTAATTCACCTGATGCCATTAATAATATTTCAACGTCATCAACATAATCATGCATTCTCTTACCACTGCTGTGTGTCGTTGAAATATGAAATGCACCAAAATGTAATTCCATCATCATCATTCTATCCATCATCTCAAAAGCGTCGCATTTATAATAAGGTTGCGGAATTATCAAATGGGATGAACGTGCTGATGTTAACTTTTACAGTTGCAGCACAGTGACAGAAAAGAGCGATCAATATTTTACTACCAGCTGTTCTATTTGGCCTGGAAATTTACTGTAAGTGCTGTGGTGGAAGCATCTGTCTTCTCAAAGAGGCACCGCATTATTGCATTGATGAAAAAAGGAACATTCCAAGCGTGTGAAGATGTCACGACGTTTTTTTTTTAAATTGTCGTAATTTGCAGTCTTTAGACTGGCTAGGTGTCTGTGTGTATAAATGTACGATTTGAATAGGCAGAGACTGATTGTTTTTTTTACACAAAAACAAAACTCACTTCAGCAAAGTTCAAGGAACGTGAAAGGTCAGTCGACACAAAACGTTGGTCGTTTTTGTTTCCCTCCATTATAATTGTTCAACTCTGTTTTTGCATTTCATCTTCAACATTCTGTTTTTTTTCTATGTAGATTTGCGAAAAGAGGACGCAACACTGGGGTTGTGCATATAGTCCAATTTAGCATTTGAAATGTTTTAAGGTTTCACTGGAATTCGTGGATATTCACGAGGGGACTCGATTGTTCTACTTTTCGCTGCTCTTTAGAAACATCAAACAAACCTGTCCCACATACAGAACATCCCTTAAGGAATTGGCAAACATCCCACATTCAGAACCCAGCAATCCTTCTGAACAAGGGCATTGACACTTAGTATGTTGAGAAATGTGTTTAGGAGCATAAGTTGGACGATGTGTTGTGTTTTTATATGTATGTATAATCTCAGGTTTTTTTCGGTAAAGTCACGTAGGTAAATAAATAAATAATACGTTATAAAAATAATAGAAATAAAATAATAACTCACGACGTTTCGGAGGCAACACAAGCTTCCGTCTTCAGGTGTAACCGTCACAGCACAATTGCTGTATCAAGTACTTGGACTCAATTGTTCTACTTGTCGCTGTTCTTTAGAAACACAATTGCTGTATCAAGTACTTGATACAGCAATTGTGCTGTGACGGTTCCACCTGAAGACGGAAGCTTGTGTTGCCTCCGAAACGTCGTGATTTATTATTTTATTTCTATTATTTCTTCTATTCTTTTTATTATTTGTTTATTTTTTTTACCTACGTGACTTTACCGAAAAAACCTAAGAGTATGAATCCTTGCAGTCACGAAAGCTTCAAATCTAGAATGTATAATCTCACCCAGTTATTAATATTTTTACCATCGTTGTTAAGTGAACACGATCACAATTATCTCTGTCCTCAAATGTTGAACTTCTTTCGCACTGTACGTCGCCAACGGTGCTAATAGGAGGTGCGGAAATGAGTGCTGCCCATGCTCAAACAAGCATGGGTAGTACTCGTTTGGCCGACTTCAGTCTAAATAAGTAATATTTAAAAACCTTGTTTTAAAACACGCTTTTATGAAATGTACTAGTAATGGCAGAACTCCACGACTCCAGGAAGTGGCCCCGAAGCTTGCCATGACGTAAGGGACCGTGGGCAATTAGACCCAAGCCGAAACATAACATATAAAAAATAATGTTTAAAAATATATTTAGATTTTTATGTTAGAATATAGTATTGTCATCAGTATGACATAAGTATACCAATGTTGCAGTCGATACCACATTGGGAAGTGGGGTTAAATTGAGTTACAAGATTTGAGGATACAACAACGACAACAACAACAGACAGAGTGAGTTAATACTGGTAGGAACCTCTTGGTTACACCAGCCCACAGGGGATTATTGTGTCCGTCCGTCCGTCATGCAGGGAGGGGCTGGGTGGGGAGGGGAGGGTGGGGAGGGGCTAGGTGGGGAGGGGCTGGGTGGGGGGTGGGAGGGGTGCGGCTGGGTGGGGAGGGGCTGGTCACCCCGTGGTGCCCTTATAAAACTCAACGTTTAACCTACTCACACTGGCTTGTGCCAGCCCTCACAGTCGGGCATATTTGCGGAATACACCACGCCACCGTTGACCCTGGCCATTGACCGAGCAACCCAACGTTCCTACCAGCTCCCTCCGCAGGAATGTGTTAAAAAGCGTGTTAAAAAATAGTTTGGACCAAGGTAAAAAAAAAAATTCAGTCCGTGTCAGCACCCAGGTAACATCTTCTTAATTCACCAACGTTTGCAATGCCCTTCACCAGTTATTATCAATATACAGAGATTTTGAAAGCAAAACAAAGAAACAAACTCAGGCACCGTGTGATATATTTCTGGCCACCCCATTGTACGAGTTCCAGGGGTCCTTTAGCTCCATGTTCACTTTCTTCTCTTTGTCCGATTTACCGGCTTTGATCTCTTTTCGAATTCGTCAGATTCCAAAAGTGGGCTCCCCTCTTATTTTGAGCAATGGGGTGGCACTCATTTCCTGAGCCCAAGGGTGACAATTCCACGTGTCTGTTGGGTTGGGAGAACACATTTCAAGAGGACACCCGCTGCACCAATATCTTGATACTGGCAACAGGCTCTCATCGTTGGGACCCCCCCTGTTTGTCTTCTGCACAAAGTGTTAATTATTTTAGTCACCAAAGATGGATGAACGGCTCGACGATCCCTGACCTGGTTTTTAATTCGCAACCTTCTGATTGCAAGCCATGCACCACTGAGCCACGGTTGGCTACGTACGGTGCCAAAGAAGTTCAACATGCATACGTACAGCGTTTAGAGTTGGACAGAACACAAGTTCCACCTTTCTACTTCCATAGAACAACTACAATCAACTCGTCAGAATGCAGAGATCATCTCCGGCCGGGATTCGAACGTGGAACCTTCCGGTGGCGGGTCAGGCGCCGAGTGTGCATGGTTTCAAGGTGAATGGGCGACTACTCCGAGTGGTCGGATGAATAGTGTCGCCTGGGTTGGACGGGCGATGGGGCAATGCTGTGAAATGAACTGATAATTATGAATCCCCCGTGCGTCACCCTGCTCAATAATTCTATCCAAAATATTGTGGAACAACAGCCTCAGTTTGCCCTGCCCTTGGCTCGTATACGCTTGTTGACTTTGGTGTTCTCCTTCACTGGCTGATGATCGTAGCCATTGGTTTAAGGTTCCCTGCGTTAAATAATTAACCTGCCCTTTCTTTTATCATAACCTCCCTTTTTCCAGTTCCTGCCGTGCCTCTTTGGTGCTGATTTATGCATTTATTTTGTATTGTTCATTCCGTCTATCGTCTTACCGCCCCGCATGTTGCCTTTCTGTCAAATCATTAGAAAACCCTTGGAAAGGTGAAATAGTTGTATGTTAATTTTTCAGGACAGCAGGACCATTTCTCCATAATTAATGCTGGCTTAATGGATACTGGCAGACGATATCGCTGAACTAAAGTGGAGCAATTTATCATAGCTTTTTTTTAATACCCCTATGGACAGTGCCTTTGCTCTCACACTCAACACTCAGCCCTTACGAAAATGTTCCATATTTATGCCCCACAACATGGCTCTATTGCGGCCAGGAGGGAAGAGTCAGCTCAGGTTTTTACATTGCCTTTAAGTGTGAAATGTAATTTGCAGTCGTTAAAGCATGCCCACACTTATCAGCACCCTCAACCTTGGAATGGTGTCATTCTACTCGACCTTCGTGTCGTTTAAAAAAAGAAATTGTATTCTTTTCTCTAATTTTTTTTTGTAATCAGTGGATGTGTCATTAAATTAATGTAAGTGGCTGCTCGGGCATGGCGTAGCTTTTACCACCAAAGTGTCTCCTCTGCTCATCGAGCACAGGGGCTGTGCGCTTCTCTCTTCAGAGCTGGAATGATCTGTGGATGAGGTTGATTGATTGACTATTTTATTTTTCGGTCGATGGCTCGGGACTTCATTAAAAATGTTAGCCCCCTGCACATCCTGCTTCCCGAAGGCAGGAAACCCCCTTACAAGGCATGGCCAGCGTGACGTCAATGGCGCCGCAAAGCTCCGCCCATAACCTCCCGTCCAGTGGCACATGTGAGGGCAGCAGAAATGAGTCCGTTTTTCAACAACTTCTGTCCCATCCAATTAGACGGCAATCGAATTGATTGTCCGATATAATCAGTTACTTAAACAATAATCGGATAGGTCAGATCAGCTGCAGTGATAGAAATGTAACATTCCAGTGGCAGGGCCATTATATCAATTGAAATCCACCGCTGACTTCTCACGAATTGATACTTGCTAAACTATTCAAACTAA